AATCCCACATCAGGAAATTAAGGAACCGTGCAAGGAATTGAGATCATTCCCCTATTGCCTGATTGGTTTTAGTTTAGTACTGTGGGTTAGTTTAGTTGCTCTGACTGAAGGTTTTTGTGCTGATTTTATCTTCTGGTTTTGTACTATAATAGTCTTTATATGTTGATGATTCATCCCTTTTTTTTTTTTTTTTTTTTCCCCTTGGATGAAGGATGATTCATCTTTTGATAAAACCTATTCTGTTACATTTTTTGTGAGCTTGTTGGTTGACGTGTTTGAACATAGGAGACGTCCTGTATTATTTTCGCATCAGTTGTCATCTTAGAGATTGCTCGGTTTCCCGTTATCTAGAAGTTCACTATTAATAGGTAGTATGATTTGTATTTGTTAACTGAGTCTTGCTTATTATTATTATTATCTCATTCCCACTATGCTTCTCTCGTGTTCTGAGTTACTGACCGTTGGAAATTTATTGAGTAAGTGAAAGAATTTTCATTAAGCTTTGATTCAACTGAACTATGGTTTTGTAAACTTAAATAAAAATAATGTACTGCATTCATGTAAGTCTTTGTTGCAGTACAGGAGTATAGCACATTAGAAACGTAATTTGAGCTTTAGTACGGTGATTTGTAATTTCTAGTCTGTTAAATATTCAGCTAATATACACCACCAAAGGTTCCCTATTGAAATGTTTTGTTTTTCGGTTTATCTTACAGATATGTGTCAGGTTATAAAAATCGGTTCCAGAATTTCATTAGATACTTGCGTGAAATGGGGGATGAGGTAAATTCTTTACCTCTCAATGCTTTTGTATTATATTGAGTATGGACTTCCTTAATTTAACGTGCATTAGTGAGAATGAGATTCCTGGCTAAACTGGTAGTTACATTGGCTTGTTTAGACTTCATGACAATGAAATTCCTAATTCCGATTGTCTTTGCATGAGGACTGACATATTTTCTTACTGATACATGGTATAGGTGATGGTTGTGACAACCCACGAAGGAGTTCCTGACGAATTTTATGGAGCAAAATTGATTGGATCCCGAAGGTAAGCTATATAGAGATCTAATTTCTAATAGTTCAGTGCATAAAAAAATAATAGACAGAAAGCATACAAAACATTACTCTTCCTAAATCTCTCTCTCTTTGGTTTGCTCTTGTCTGTTTTATTTCTCAGCTTTCCCTGCCCCTTGTATCAAAAGGTTCCCCTTTCCCTTGCACTTAGTCCTAGAATAATTTCGGAGGTTGCTCAGTTCAAGCCTGACATTATACATGCATCCTCACCTGGAATTATGGTCAGTATTTAATTCATTCTTATTCTTTTCTTTGTAGATGGTAGATTGACTCTGTATATTTTGTTATCGATAAAATAGAGTAATAACAAAGAATTGAAAAGATGGCTGACGCGTAACACTATTTTTCAGGTTTTCGGTGCGCTCATTATTGCTAAGTTGTTATCTGTCCCTATAGTGATGTCGTATCACACTCATGTGCCAGTGTGAGTTTAATTCTTAATTTTGTTCAAGTTTTCAGCATAAACTTTGTCAGATATCGTCATATATTTTGAAAAATCATATAACTGCTTATGAAGAAAGTAATATATGTCAATGAGCGCTTAGTACTGAGCCTTGGTCTTGTTTTTTATGCAGATATATCCCGAGATACACTTTCAGTTGGCTGGTGAAACCCATGTGGTTAGTCATAAGTATGTAACCCTACCTTTGTATTGGCCTCATATAGTGATATGGATACGAGAGCATATAATTAACATTACTGTTTTTGCTATCAGAATTTCTGCACAGAGCTGCTGATCTCACGCTAGTGCCATCAGCTGCAATCAGTAAGGATCTCCTAGAAGCTGGGGTGGCCGCAGGTGAATATAGTAAACTCGTTTGATGTCTCAATCCCGGATTCACTTTTCTGAAATTGTTGACTGAATAGAAAAAACATGTCCATTCAGCACTAACTTAAACTAATCTTTAAGTGCTTATTTGCAGCTAATACAATCCGTCTTTGGAATAAGGGTGTCGATTCTGAAAGCTTCAATCCCTGCTTCCGTTCACATGAAATGCGTATAAGACTGAGGTAGTGCCTCTATTTGTCAATTGTGTCTTTCACTTTCCCATCAGGTTGGAAACTTTTCTGATTCGTGTAAGTTGTCATGAATAGCAATGGCGAACCTGAGAAACCTTTAATTGTTCATGTTGGAAGACTTGGAGTGGAGAAGAGTTTGGATTTTCTGAAAAGGTAGTGTTCTTCTCTCTTAAAAATAACATATTTAAAGCTTAAACTTGGATGTTGTTATATTTTTTGGTAGATCTCCTCTGTAATATGTGCCTTGATTTTACAAATATTTCTATAATTTGCAGCGATTAACCTATAAACCATTTTGATTTAACAGTGTCATGGATCGGCTTCCTGAAGCACGAATTGCTTTCATTGGAGATGGACCATACAGGTATTACTCTGGTACATAATGAACTTCTTGAATTCTAGTGAGTAATCTGCTTCTACCGAAAAGCTCGTAAAAAAATGATGCAGCAGCTTACCATTGGTGTTAGGGCTTATTATTTGGAACTTTGGGGAAAAGCATGTTCCTTTCTCAACATAAGAATCACTGGTACTCATTTAATGATATGGCTTTTATTTTGGCAGGGAGGATCTGGAAAAACTGTTTGAAGGCATGCCCGCGGTATTTACAGGAATGTTAGGAGGTGAAGAGCTATCTCAGGCATATGCCAGTGGTGACGTTTTTGTGATGCCTTCAGAATCAGAGACACTAGGGCTTGTTGTATTGGAGGCTATGTCTTCAGGTATCCCCGTGGTTGGAGCTCGTGCTGGTGGAATCCCAGATATAATTCCGGCAGATCAGGAGGGGAAAACTGGCTTTCTCTACAATTACAATGACCTTGATGACTGCTTAAGTAAGTTGCAGCCCCTGCTGGAGAACAAGGAATTAAGGGAAACAATTGGCAAGGCAGCACGTGAGGAAATGGAGAAGTACGATTGGAAAGCAGCCACACGAGTAATTCGAAATGAGCAATACAGTGATGCCATTTGGTTCTGGAGGAAGAAGAGAGCGCAATTTCTGAGACCGTTGCAGTGGTTCATGAAGCGCATTTTTCCTCCAACCACACCAGAAATCAAGTACAGGTGATTTCGGATCCTACCGCGTTCAGCCACAGGTAACTAGTGATTTGTAAACTTGCTTTGCGCTTTCAAAAGAAGTTATTGGTGGATTGTACTTGGGATAATTGTAAATTATTTGTTGTACATATTGGACGGTAGACAATGTCAGGTGTGGCGTCTCTTGCTAATTTTTATTACACAACCAAATGGGAAGTGGAGATCTGTGTGCATGTTTTGTGCATCTAACGTTGTGCAAGTTCCTCGTATGTTGTTTTAACGAGGTAACTTTTAGTCAGATGTCTGGTTTGATTCCATGCATTTCACTTGCAATTCATCTCCTTCACTCATAGATACGGTACTTGGACGGCTAGTTACAGTAAGTGTCGGGAAAGAAAGATATTTGGTGTTCATTAACGTCTTCACATCGAAAAATCATCCGATGCATGTAGGAAGAGAATGGGGATAGAGAAACCAGGGCAGGGGAGTATTTTTCTCTATGCCAAGCTCGTCACACGTAGCATATGGGATTGGATTTAGACGTCTCTTACGTTCTTGTTGAAGAGTGTAAAAGTTTCACATTGGAGGCTTGACGCAATAATGCAAACTAGTAATATGACGGCTATCATGATGAAACCTCACATCTGCCTTGTGCATAAGATTAAGGTGCGGGTGATATCAGTGTCTGAAGTAAGGAGCAAAGATGCGTTTTTTTGAAATCTTAGCATGGCACTAAAACATGTACTTTTAGACAAAACTGACCGCAATTAGCTCAATGTTTCAGTTAGAGTCACACCGTTAATCTCTTTTAATTTTAAGCCATTCCCCCTCACTTCCTCTGTGACATCCCACATTGCCCAGGGAAGTGATCCTTATATGTATATTCTCATCCCTACCTAGCACGAGGCCTTTTGGGAGCTCACTGGCTTCGGGTTCCATAGGAACTCCGAAGTTAAGCGAGAAGGGGGCTAGAGCAATCCCAAGATGGGTGACCCTCTGGGAAGTTGCTCGTGAGTTCCCAAAAACAAAACCGTGAGGGAATGGTAAGCCCAAAGCGGACAATACTCACAACTCGTGCTAATTAGGTTAATTTAGGTCATGTGTCCAATGTAAAACTAAGAGTTGGGTTTGGACAGGAAGTTTGACGAAATTCTCACAAAACAAATTTGGCGGCTAATTTGCAAAACACCAAATCAAATGCTTGTCAAAAGTGTAAAAAGAGAGGAGAATCTATCTAACGTGCTTTCCTAAGCTGCCCCATGAAAACAAGTTTTGGCATTGGGACTCAATGGTCGAGGTTTATCTCATTCTCAGACGTTGTTCGGTTTGGGGACCATTTGGGATATTTGTGTCTCTATTACCGACAAATATGATATTTACATGGAACGAGTCCACCGTTTACGCGGCATTCAAATTCAATAATACAATGTTATGCAAAAGACTTACATGAAACTTATTCGCTGAATGATTAAACTCAATCGAAATCCAATTTGCTATGGGTTGATTCTTTTCTGTATTGAATGTTTAAAACTTTAATAAATACAATCTAAATAGATATTTGACTAGTATAACGCAAGTAAAGAAATGAGTTTACGTTAGTTAGGATTTTGCTCTCGTAAATACTTGATTCCGTTTTTTGACCAAGTAATTATTGTATGTATGTCAAATTATGATTTGGATATAAAGCTCGTCACTAAAAATTATTGACCTAAAAGTTAAAACTACCCTCCATCACCACCAGGTTATATCACTTCAATAACCTCTTTTGGTTGGGCAAAATTTTACGAATTTGATTTTCTGCTTAAACAATTAGGAATATGAGCAGTCAATATTGCCAAATAAACGATAGAATGGAATGGATTATTATCAGATTAAGTTGGGCAATTTCGTCACGTGCATATTTATGAAGTAGATAAAATATATAATATACATAACATGGAAGTCTTTAAGAAAAGAGATCCTCATTTTTCAAAAAAAATAGGAATATTCTCTTAACCGTTAGATTTAGCTTTAATAAAATCATGTAGTTGAGATTCTGTGGCCTGTGATTTAATCTCAGCTACAGAATTTTATTAAAGTTAAATCTAATGGTCAAGAAGATCTCACATTTTTTTTTTTGAAAAATGAGAATAAAGGTCTCTGTACATAACATAATATCCTAATCCCCTACCAAATGGCAAGTACCAACAACCCAACACACGCTACACTAGTAGCCAAAACGTCGCTGTTTGACGTCTCATCACAACCGTCCAAATCAATCTCGCACAGCGATTGACTAAGTTTTGACATGTCCTAATTTTCGAAAAAAATTTCAATGCGCTTAAAACACATATGATACTCAGCCACGCTTTAAATACACTAAAAAACCACTCCTAATTCCCACGACCCACCCACCGTCACTGCTGGATCGGCTACAACCCGGCTCATTCTACAGCCGATACGTATTGCATGAACTCTCCATCGGACAGCAGACCCGCCATCGTCTCGGGACCCAGAACCACCTCCAAATCAACGCTCCCGTTGCCCTCCCTCCCAGGAAACGCCGATATCTTGCCGTCGAATTTGTTGGCCGCGCCGCTCCGCACGGCGAGAGGTTTGCCCCACCCGAAATCGTTGTTGTACATCGGGAATCGCGGCGAGCTGCCCATAGTGATCATCGCACCGTCGAAGTTCCCCAGCGGGAAGAGCCTCGGCGCGCTCTCCCAATCCTCCACGCCGCGGCGAACGGTGGCGTCATCGTGCGCCACCACATTCTTGTGGAGGAGCTCGGCTCCCCAGCGCAGATCTCGAGAAAGCAGCTCGCCGGCGGTAGCGACGGTCGGGATGCTCTGTATCGCGTTCCCGAAGTAGTGCGAGTCCATCTTCGGCTGGAGGCGGTGGCGGCAGTTCACAGCCATGCGAAACGTCGTCGTTTTGGGATGGGGCAGATTCCTGACTCGTGTCACGGAGCGCCAGAGCTGCGCGCTCAAAGATTGAAATGACGAAATCTCCGACGTTTTCGCGCCGTTATATCGAGGAACGGCTTTCCAGCTGTCATTGCACTGCTTCCCGAAAATCTCGGCCGATTCAGAAAGGCCGTTACCGTAATCGTTACCATTACCGTTACAGTTATGTGTTGTTTTAAACAGAGTGTTATTGGCTCTGTTTTTCAGTTTGAGAATCGATTCTCTACTGAAATGGAAGATTCGCTCTCTCAGCGGGTCGTTGCCGGAAAAGGTTACCTTAGGGCCGCCTTCGGGGAAGTGGAGCACCGCCGGCGAGTTGAAGACGGTGTCACGGGAAAAATCAGGAGATTTTGACATTTTCTTGGCGCCTCTGTTAATCTCGGCGAAGGTGTTGAAGAAGTGCCAGAAAGAGGTACCGTCGACGACGGAGTGGTTGACCGTACATCCGATGAAGACCGCGTCTGCGAGCTCGGTGACCTGGACGGCGGCCAGAGGCCTGACATGGCCGGCGTAGCTCAAAGTCCTTTCGTAGGCGAAGAAGTTCCTGAAGCAATGTGGAACGTCGGCGTTGGGCCGCAAGACGGCGTCGACGGAGAGGGTCTTGGCTTTGGCATGGACGAAATTGACGCCGGCGTCGTTGCAGACTATGTGGACGTGGCCGTCGGCGTCAGTCTCGAAGCGGCCGGCGAGAGCGGGGAAGTGGGAGAGGGCGAGGGAGAGGGAGTGTTTGAGGGAGGGGAGGAGGTCGGCGGAGGAGCAGGAAGGGGATTCGAGGAGGACGCCCTTCTGGATGTAGTGGCAGGAGAGCATAGGAAGATCAGAGACGGAGAGCTTCAGGGATTTGATTGTGGATTTCTGGTGGGGGTAAATTGTGCATTGCGAAATTACGGAAACGGAGGAATCGGAGGAAGGCATCGTGAAACGGTGCGTATTGAAGGTGGGTCGACTGAGAAAGTTTGGGGGTTTGAATTGTGAGTTGTGATGAGAGGGAGCGAGCAGGGAAGGGGGGTATATATAGTGGTGGGGAGGGGGGGTTGGATGCATGAACTTGCCTCCTACTTTCTTGTTGGAAATTTGTAAATGAAATAGGGCGGGGGCCAGGGAGATATGACGACGTGTCAAGAAAGGGAAGGGGTAGTATTGAAGATTAGGACAGATGGTTGATGGACGTTAGCAGTCATTACTCATTAGTCACGGTGAGCGTAAAACGACATTATTTAATCTTGAATATTTATGCTGTTGACCACTGCTGAATATCTAGTTTTTGTTCTGGGTAATGTTAAAATGATTAAATTTTTAATTAAATTTATAAATTAAATAATATGTTATTACATAAATAAGCACATTAATTGATTATTTATTTGTAATTTAATAATCTACAACCACATCATTCGATTTGCAAATTTGATTTAATTTCTCTAACATTATCCGTTTGTTAATGTCCATAAGATAGAAAAAATTTGCCTAAAAGAAAAAAACTAATGAAAAGGTAAAAATAAAAGAATTCTACTACTCCACCCCTATGTCTTATTTCTAGACGAGACGAAAAGAATGGTACATTTTTCAGCAGCTAACTCGAGACCCAGATAACCATTTTTGAGCCTTTTTTGGCCAAATCACGGAGAGTTCGCCGTTGAAAAATGTACCATTCTCTTTGTGTCATCGAGAAGTAGATTTCCGTTTTTGAATCACTTGATTTCGTTGAGTATTAAAGAAGGTACGAACGTTTAAAGTTTACCTTGTTTCCCGCGAGTTTTCTAGTTTCCCCTCAGACCAGTCAACTTTGAGGTTATTTTCCTACCATCTCTGGCAACCATTGGACTTTCAAATAGGTATAATCTTATTCAACACTTTCCTATCTTCATTTTGATATATTATGGGTCGAATTTGGTTAAGAAACGATTAAGTTACGAAGCTTTGAAAATTGTCCAAACTTCCGTCTAAGAGCTCCGGAACATTTAACGAAGTTTTTACGGAATGACCAAAATGATAGATAGTAGACAATCTCAAAAACCACTTCCAAAATTTCAGGGCTAAAAAGCCTATTAAATATAAAGAAAGTTTAGAAATAAGGAGGAAGAATATTATCAGAACCTTGCCCAGATCGTCCTCTACCCCCTCCATTCTTTTTCTTCTTCTTCCATATCTACCAGGACCACCACTGCTCCCCGCCGTCCTCCACTTTTTTCATGCGAAGATAAAACTCAAAACTAGAAGACCCACGACGAACCCACGAACTGCTACTTGCAGACGGGCCTCCTGCAGGTCCGAGAAGAGGCGACCCGCGCGAATCCTCCATATATGCAACCCGACTGGAACGTCTGGCCTTCTCCATACTCCACACGCAACAGCTTCTCTCATCCAAATCCAACCCACGACAACCTTCTTCAGCTGGGATCCAAAGGAAAATTTTCAAAAAACTATGAGATCTCAAGCTTTTCCATTAATATCACCGAAAAAAAAAATTCCATTGATAAGGAGCACTAGGCCCAAATCATGATATTTTTTTTTTCCACAAATCATGAGCAGATTAAACAAAATAAATTTTTAATTGTTATTTTCTTTTTTATTTATTGTTAAGAATTTAAAATATCAAGGTTATTTTTGAAATAATGGTGATTGTAGAAATAGCATCTCATTTTTTCTGTTTTTAATGGTGGGTGACAGAATAAATAAGGTGGGGAGATAAGAAAAGAGGGTGGGTATAGTAACGCTCAAATAAAAAAATCATAAACCTATTTGCCAAACCAAAAGGAAAAAAAATCGAATTTAATTGGTAAGCATATCTGTCATTTAGTACTATGATTTAGTGATATTCTTTTTCACTTGTAAGTGAGAGATCTTAAGTTCGATTCTCACCTAAAGGTAAGTTTGAACCACATTATTATTATCCCATTGTAAGGCTACGCCTATTCTCTCTCCATCGTTTATTCAAAAAACAAAAAAAAATTGATAGGCATATCTAACTATATGGTAAAAAAATCAAAAAATTCAAACTTAATCGGTACGTACTTAATCAAAAGGTACAAAATTAAAAACGGCGAGGGTATTTGGTAGGTATATCTAATTGAAAGGTAAAAAATAAAAATAAATAAATCGAAAGGGTACAACATAATAGGTGAGGGAGATGATGCATAATAACTTTATTGGTTTATTCTTGTTAAACCCAATGCTTTTGAGTTCAGATCTAATTTTCTAGAAACATTGATGCGTAATAACTTTTATGAGATTTTCATGTCAATTATTTAGACCGAAAAAGATATTAATAACAACTTTTATTTACAAATTATTTACCTTAAAATTTTACATTATGGATTAAATTACCAATTGACTAGTATATTATACCCGCCATTTATCAAGTTTGAATTTCACTCATCGTAACTCGTAAGTAAGGTTCTAAAAAACGTTAAACACTAGTCGGACGGCAACCAGGGTCTAGCCTAGGCGGACTAGACGGATATTTAATGTTGGCTTAAATGTCAAAATGGTCTCTGTGTTATAGTCATATGGTCAATTTAGTCCCCGTGTTTTCAATTTGGCCAATTTAATATTTGCGTTTATCTCTATTAGCCAATTGAGGACATTTCATTTAATCTCTGTTAAAAAATTCATAAGAAAATTTATAAGAGATATAATTACCCTTTCTCTTTACAAAAAAATGCAAATCAATGAGAAATAATGTCACATCCCGACCCGGGGCGGATCACTTCCCAGGCCCGCTTCCACTACCGTAGCACGATATTGTCCGCTTTGGGCGTACCATTCCCTCACGGTTTTGTTTTTGGGAACTCACACGAGAACTTCCCAGAGGGTCACCCATCCTGGGAATGCTCTCGTGCGCTACTTGCTTAACTTCGGAGTTCCCATGGAACCCAAAGTCAGTGAGCTCCCAAAAGGCCTCGTGCTAGGTAGAGATGGAATATACATATAAGGATCAGTCCCCTGGGCGATGTGGGATGTCACAATCCACCCCCCTTAGGGGCCCGACGTCCTCGTCGGCACACACGCAGCCAGGGTTAGGCTCTGATACCAAATGTCACATCCCGACCCGGGGCGGATCACTTCCCGGGCCCGCTTCCACTACCGTAGCACGATATTGTCCGCTTTGGGCTTACCATTCCCTCACGGTTTTGTTTTTGGGAACTCACACGAGAACTTCCCAGAGGGTCACCCATCCTGGGAATGCTCTCGTGCGCTACTCGCTTAACTTCGGAGTTCCCATGGAACCCAAAGTCAGTGAGCTCCCAAAAGGCCTCGTGCTAGGTAGAGATGGAATATACATATAAGGATCAGTCCCTGGGCGATGTGGGATGTCACAATCCACCCCCCTTAGGGGCCCGACGTCCTCGTCGGCACACACGCGGCCAGGGTTAGGCTCTGATACCAAATGTCACATCCCGACCCGAGGCGGATCACTCCCGGGCCCGCTTCCACTACCGTAGCACGATATTGTCCGCTTTGGGCTTACCATTCCCTCACGGTTTTGTTTTTGGGAACTCACACGAGAACTTCCCAGAGGGTCACCCATCCTGGGAATGCTCTCGTGCGCTACTCGCTTAACTTCGGAGTTCCCATGGAACCCAAAGCCAGTGAGCTCCCAAAAGGCCTCGTGCTAGGTAGAGATGGAATATACATATAAGGATCAGTCCCCTGGGCGATGTGGGATGTCACAATTATCTCCGTGAGCCAATTAAGGACATTTCCATCTAATATTTGTTAAAAAAATCATAAATTATTATAAACTTAGCTATATAATTATTTATTTGATTTAAAATATTTAATAAAATTTAAAAATAAAAGAAAAATTATTCTCCTCCCACCTCTCCAACTTCCTTCCTAACATTACTTCCCTCTCTTTTCTATGTCATAACCTTAATAATTTTTCAAATTTGAAGTTTTTTTTTTCTCTTATATGTGTTATTTGTGACATCCCACATCGCCCAGGGGACTGATCATTATATGTATATTCCATCTCTACCTAGCACGAGGCCTTTTGGGAGCTCACTGGCTTTGGGTTCCATGGGAACTCCGAAGTTAAGCGAGTAGCGCACGAGAGCATTCCCAGGATGGGTGACCCTCTGGGAAGTTCTCGTGTGAGTTCCCAAAAAGCCTCGTGCTAGGTAGAGATGGAATATACATATAAGGATCAGTCCCCTGGGCGATGTGGGATGTCACAAATAACACATATAAGAGAAAAAAAAAACTTCAAATTTGAAAAATTATTAAGGTTATGACATAGAAAAGAGAGGGAAGTAACGTTAGGAAGGAAGTTGGAGAGGTGGGAGGAGAATAATTTTTCTTTTATTTTTAAATTTTATTAAATATTTTAAATCAAATAAATAATTATATAGCTAAGTTTATAATAATTTATGATTTTTTTAACAAATATTAGATGGAAATGTCCTTAATTGGCTCACGGAGATAAACACAATGATCAAATTGGCCAAATTGAAAACACATGGATTAAATTGATCAAATGACTAAAACACATGGACCATTATAACATTTAAACCTTTGATGTTTAAGAAACATGTAGTTATAAATGTCTACTTATACTAAAAAAATACATAATTGTATCAAATTACATAAATTGCAAAATCGAATGACATATAGATTATAATGAATTAGAACATATTGAAAACATGGTGAACAAATATATAATGAGTGTTTCTCAAAGTATTTAACAAGTCTCTAAAAATTTATTTAAAAAATAAAATTCAAAATGAAAGTTAATAAGTTTCTGTCTGAATGAGAGTTGCGGTCTAAACAGGTCTAGATGTCCTTCTTAATTTTCAAAACACCTATAATTAATCAGAGTTTAGGCAGGATTTTCTAGAAGAGTAGTCGTAAGTTAGAGTAACACAAAACATTGTCCAATAAAATAGTTTGTTTATATTTTGGGAAATGTTATTGGCACTTCAAAAATCTCATTCTACACTCCTTACAAGTGTATTTTTCTTTTCAAATATAGAAAATT